CTTTCAAGCAATTTTCAAAACTGACCATTAAGCTTGAAGGGTCTCCAAATCCATTAAAACGTGGAGGGGTGGAGGGGAGGAACTTCCAGCGGTTCCTCTGCGGGACAATGAAAGCCTCATCAGCAGCTCCTATCTTTGTTGTATGTTCAGGTATTGCTGTAGAGAAAAATTGAACTGACAGCTCCCTCACAGGAGTTTTGACCCAAGATTATCCATTCTAATACAATCCTTTATGCTGTCACAGGAGGCAGGAAGGAACTATCATGTCATGGTTAAGAGCCTAGGCTTTGGAGTCAGCACCCAACCTTTCTGAAACCAGTCCTCTCATCTGCAAAATTGGGGTGATAATAATGACACTCACTTCCTAGGATTGTCAAGAAAATTACATTAAGAGAAAGGATAGCCAGGTTCGGTGGCTCAGCCTGTAATCCCGCGCTTTGGGAGGCTGAGGTGAGTGGACTGCCTGAGCCCGCAGGTTCAAAACCCACCTGGGCAACTTGGTGAGACCTCATCTCTACAATAAAGCAAAAACTAGCTGGGCGTGGTAGCGCGTGCCTGTAGTTCCAGCTACTTGGAAGGCTGAGGCAGAAGGATCACTGGAGCCCAGCAGGTTGAGGCTGCGGTGGCCGGGAGCAGCCACTGCACTCCAGTGTGGGTGACAGAGTGAGACTCCAACTCAAAAAAAAAAAAAGAGAAAGGATATATGTGAAAAGTTGTCATAACAACTACCACGTAGTAAAAAGTCAATGAGCAGGAGGTATTTTCATCTTTATGAGGAGTTCAAGTGTTGATTAACTCACTTTGCCAAAGGCCAGCTCATAGTTCATGTTAAATGATGTGCAGGGTACAGAATAGTACTTAAGATATTCCCAAATTATTTGGTAATGATTATTCATTTAACAAAGTTTATCTGGGTAGGAAAGATACTTGGATTGCTAAGAACTTTTCATGACTGGATTGGTGGTAGCAATGACTGCTCCATCAAGAGAGAAGAGAGTTGCAGGCCTTGCCAAGGGACCCTCCCCAAGCCCAGGTCATCTAGGCTAGAGAGATTGACTTCAGCAGGTTGGAAAGATGCACTTAGATGCAAGTATCTGGCCTCTGGGCAAAGGCAGGAAAACCTACAGCCTAATCCACCCATGGGAAGAGAGTGAAGGAGTTTCTCACCAAGGCCCTGAACCTCAGATTTCTAGCATTTTACTTCAGTAAAGAAACCTCTAACAATGTCGGATGCAGAAAGATACTTTTTTTTTTGTCTGGGTGTTTTAATATAGATGAAATCATTGCTGGTGCATTGGTCTTGCAGCAAAAGATCATGGACACCTATGAGTCTACACAACAAAGATTATCACCTCCATTACATTCTAGAATGGTGATGAATACACATTAAAGGAATTCTAGTCTGAACTTTTGTGGTGATAACAGCAGAGCAATACTGTGATAGTTGTCACACTGTATTTCTACTTTCTTCTTGAAAATAGACAGTAATTGAGATCTTTATGTAATGGTCTCATGGTTATTCAAGTATTCTATAGGTTTTTATTGCACATTTTTAAAGCAGCACATTTACTTTCCACAACTATAAAAATTATTAGTGATTTGCATATCCCAAACTTTCTGCAAGAGGCAGATTTGTCCAAAAAACTTTCACATTTGTTTCACTCTCTATTTATTAAAATATGATATTGAGTGGTTTCTATGTATCAAATATATTCTTCTTTGAATATTTAATAGATGTCACCAGTGAAGCCTTCTGATTCCGGGTATTTCTTTGTTGAGTAGTTTTTTAAATTATTATTACTGATTGTATCTCTTATGTGTCTATTCATATTTTCTATTTCTTTATAAGTTGTAGTTTGTGTGTTTTTAGGAATTTGTTCATTTTATCTAGGTTATCTAATTTGTTGATGTACAGTTGTTCGCAGAGGATTCTCTTATAATCCTTTTTATTTCTGAAAGGTCAGTAGTAAGGTTCCCACTTTCACTTCTGATTTTAGCAATTTGAGTCTTCTCTCTTTTTTCTTTCTTTCTTTCTTTTTTTTTTTTTTTTGAGTTGGAGTCTCACTCTGTCACCCACACTAGAGTGCAGTGGCTGCTTCTGGCCACCGCAGCCTCGACCTGCTGGGCTCTGGCGATCCTTCCGCCTCAGCCTTCCAAGTAGCTGGAACTACAGCCGCACGCTACCACACATGGCTAATTTTTTATTTATTGCAGAGATGAGGTCTCACCAAGTTGGCCAGGCAGGTCTCGAACCTGCAGGCTCAGGCAATCCACTCACCTCAGCCTCCCAAAGTGCTGGGATTACAGGCTGAGTCACCGAGCCCAGCCTCGTTTTTGTTTGTTTGTTTGTTTGTTGTTTTTGTTCCACAGTCCACCTAAAGTTTGGTGAATATTGTTGATTTTTTGAAAACCAACTTTTGGTTTTGTTTATTTTCTCTCTTTTTCTACTCTCCATTTCATTTACTTCTTCCTTATTTTCTTCCTTCTGCTGACTTTGGGTTTGGTTTACTCTCTTTCTTCTAGATCGTTAAGGGGTGATGAGCCGTTGTTGATTTGGGAATCTTCCTTCTTTTTAATGTAGGCATTTACAGGTGTAAATTTCCCTTACGCAGTTTGCTACGTCTTATAATTTTGGTGTGTTGTGTTTTTCTTTTCATTCTTCTCAAAATATCTTCTAAGTTTCCTTTTGAATTATTTTTTACCTGTAAATTAGGTTTATGTGTTTAATTCTCACGTATTTGTGATTTTCCAATTTTCCTTCGGTTATTGATTTCTAGCTTCATTTCATTGTGGTCAGGGACAGTCCTTCGAATAGTTTTTATTATTATAAATGTACCAAGAAATTGTTTTGTGGCCTAACATATGGTCTATTCTGGAGTGTTCCATGTGTACTTAGCATATGTTTCTGCTGTTGTGTGGGCTGTTATATGTGTAGGCCTGTTAGGTCTCTTTGGTTTATAGTGTCTATTTCCTTTTAATCATCACTTTAGTTCTCTCAATTACTGGAAATCAGTTATCAAAGTCTTCAACTATTATTGTCCAACTAATGATTTATTCTCTCAGTGCTGTCATTTTTGCTTCATATATTTTGGACTTCTTTTGTTAGGTGTGAATAAGCTTACAGTTATTCTATCTTGTTGTATTCGGCCCCCCCCCCTTTTTTTTTCAGTTGGAGTCTCACTCTGTCGCCCAGGCCAGAGTGAAGTGGCATATTCACTGCTACCCCAGCATCGACCTGCTGGGCACCGGCGATCCTTCCACCTCAGCCTTCCAAGTAGCCAGAACTACAGACGCATGCTACCACACCCAGCTATTTTTTAATTTATTGTAGAGACAAGGTCTCGCCAAGTTGCTCAGGCCGGTCTTGAACTCGTGGGCTCAGGCAGTTCACTCGCCTCGGCCTCCCAAAGTGCTGAGATTACAGGCTGAGCCACTGAGCCCAGCTACTCATTTATTAATGTGTAATGTTCTTTGTCTCTTATGACAATTTTTGACTTAAAGTCTATTTTGTCTGATATTAGTATAACATTGCCAAACGTCTTTTGCTTATCATTTTCATGAAAAATCTTTTTTTCATCTCTTTGCTTACAACCCATTTGTGTCTTTGGATCTAAAGTGAGCTTCTAGCCAGGCGTGGTGGCTTACACCTATAATTCCAGCACTTTGGGAGGCCAAGGTGAGAGAATTGCCTGAACCCATGGGTTTGAGACCAGCCTGGGCAACTTGGTGAGATCTCATCTCTATAATAAATCAAGAAAAACTAGCCTGGCATGGTGGCACATGCCTGTAGTTCCAGCTACTTGGAAGACTGAGGCGAAAGGATCGCCGGAACCCAGCAGGTCGAGGCTGCAGTGGCTGTGAGCATGCCACTGCACTCTAGCCTGGCAACAGAGTGAGACTCCCACTAAGAAATAAACAAACAAAGCCTCATACAGACGGCAAATAGATGGATCATAGGTGTGTTTCAATCTGTTTTGCCAATCCTTGACTTTTATTTGGAAAGTTTAACATAACGTTTACATTTAAAATAGTTATGGCTAAGGACGGCTTTAGTTCAGACATTTTGTTGTATTTCTCTATATGTTTTATATCTTTTCTGTTCCTCATTTCTTCCATTACTGCCTTCTTTTCTGTTTATTTTTTGTAGTGTACATTTTTTATTCCCTTTTCATTACCTTTTTTGTATATATATATTTTGTGGTTACCACTGGAATAACAATATCTTCAACTTATAAAAATTTAGTTTAAATTAATACCAATTTAGCCGGGCTCGGTGGCTCAACCTGTAATCCTGCGCCTTTGGGAGGCTGAGGTGAGTGGATTGCCTGAGTCTGTGGGCTCGAGACCTGCCTGGGCAGCGAGACCTCATCTCTACAATAAATCAGAAAATCAGCTGGGCGTGGTAGCTCATGCCTGTAATTCCAGCTACTTGGAAGGCGGAGGAGGAAGGATCGCCGGAGCCCAGCAGATCGAGGCTGCGGTGGCCAGGAGCAGCCACTGCACTCCAGTCTGGGCAACTGAGTGAGACTCCAACTCAAAAAAAAAAAATTAATACCAATTTAGGGATTAGGGACAGCTCATTTCTGTTTCCCTTTGAGTTAGCCATATTTTCATGTTTTTGTTTCTTTGGCATGCCTAATAAATTTTGTTGAGAATTGGACATTTTGAATATTATAATGTGGTAACTCTGGAAATCCGATTCTCTCTCCTACTCAGAATTTGTTGTTGTTGTTATTGCTTGCTCTGGGTTGTAGTTGTTGGATTTAGTGACTTTTTAAAGTATTTTTGTGAAAACAGTATTCTTTGTCATCTCTGGTTTCTGAAATCTCTGTTTCTTTAGTTTGTTGCTCAACTAGTGGTCTGAGATTTTATTTCTTTTTTTATTTCTTTTGACATTGAAAATGGAAACACTTTATTGACAGTTTAGGACCACAGTGGACAGTTTCACAGAACAGAAATAAACAGTCAAGACAATGAAGTGTAAAATGGTAGCAGACAGGTTAATACTTTTCACCCTCATCCTCTCCCTCAACACTACTCCAAGCTCCTCATAATCCTTCTCAAGGGCAGCCATGTCCTCACAGGCCTCAGAAAACTCTCCTTCCTCCATCTTCTCACCCACATACCAGTGAACAAAGGCACGCTTGGCATATATCAGGTAAAACTTGTGGTCCAGACGAGCTCAGGCCTCAGCAATGACTGTGGAATTGCTCAGCATGCACACAGCTCTTTGTATCTTGACCAGGTCTCCACCAGGCACCACGGTGGAAGACCGGTAGTTAATGCCAACCTTAAAGCCAATCCACAAAACAGATGGTATGCTTGGTCTTGATTGTGGCAATGGCAGCAGTGACGTCTTTGGGAACCACATCACCACGGTACAACAGGCAGCAAGCCATATATTTACCACAGCGAGGGTCACATTTCATCATCTGGTTGGCTGCCTCAAAGCAAGCATTGGTGATCTCTGCTACAGTAAGCTGCTCATGGTAGACTTTCTCGGCAGAGATCACGGGCATATGTGGCCACAGGGAAGTGGATGCAGGAATAAGGCACCAGGTTGGTCTGGAATTGTCAGGTCAACATTCAGGGCGCCATTAAATCTGAGGGAAGCAGTGATGGAGGACACGATCTGGCTAATAAGGCGGTTAAGGTTAGTGTAGGTTGGGCGCTCAATATCGAGGTTTCTATGACAGATGTCATAGATGGCCTCATTGTCTACCATGAAGGCACAATCAGAGTGCTCCAGGGTGGTGTGGGTGGTGAGGATGGAGTTGTAGGGCTCAACTACAGCTGTGGAAACCTGGGGAGCTGGGTGAATGGAGAACTCCAGCCTGGACTTCTGACCATAATCTGCAGAGAGACGTTCCATCAACAGGGAGGTGAACCCAGACCCAGTTCCCCCACCAAAGCTGTGGAAAACCAAGACGCCCTGAAGACCAGTGCATTAGTCGGCCAGCTTGCAAATTTGCTCCACGACAAGGTCAATGATCTCCTTACCAATGGTGTTGTGCCCTCAGGCATAGTTGTCGGCAGCATCTTCCTTGCCTGTGATGAGCTGCTCAGGGTGGAAGAGCTGGCAGTAGGTGCCAGTGCGAACTTCATCAATGACCATGAGTGCCAGGTCTACAAACACTGCCCTGGGTACATGCTTACCAGAAGAAGGTGTTAAAGGAGTCATCTCCTCCCCCAATGGTCTTGTCACTTGGCATCTGGCCATCAGGCTGGATGCCATGTTTCAGGCAGGAGAGGTCCCAGCAGGCATTGCCAATCTGGACACCAGCCTGGCAGACATGGATAGAGATACACTCATGCATGACGGGGACTTGAAGGGCCTGGAAGAGGCGAAGGGATGGCGGCAGGGATCTCCCACTAACAGACTAACAAGGAGTTCAGGGGAGAAGCAGTCCTGAGATTTTCTTAAATACCTGTAGGGAAAAAGAAAAAGTGCAAGAAGCAAAAAGAATACAATGCTCATCAGCTCTTTGCAGATTGGCTGTATTGGGACATTCCTTCTACACCAAGCTATTTACAATTCTACCTTACCTGTCACTTTCTGCTTGCACTGGGCATAAAACTGGCCAGATATTGAAGGTTATATCCTTCTCAGGTCTTTTCTCAGCAAGTGTCTTGCCCTTGACAAGAACACAGCTTTTCCAGATATTCCAGAATAAACTGGAGTTTTTCAAAGCCATTATTTTCCCTTGCATCAGTCCTTCAGGGAGCCCCAGACAAGTAAACACAGAAAAACTATTTTTTTTTTTTTTGAGTTGGAGTCTCACTGTCACCCAAACTGGAGTGCAGTGGCTGCTCCCGGCCACCGCAGCC